ACTTCTCATTAAATAAAATTTAAATTATCCATTAATTTTCAGGAAGTTTAAATTTAATTTAATAAGATGAAACATAGATATAATAAAATAAGATCTAATACAAAATAAATACACTCACATTCCCCATCAAACTAAATAGGGTAACATCACATCTAAAGCAAGGTAGCATAACAACACACCTCCTGAAACATACAACAACAACAAAGCCTTAATCCCACTACGTGGGGTCGGCTACATAAATCTTTTTTCTCCAATGCGTCCTATTTAGTGTCATATTTTCATTTAGTTCTAGTAAATTAAGATCATTTTTAATACAATAAACCCAAGTCTTCCTAGGTCTACCTCTCCCTTTCTTAACACTAATCGAATTTAAAACATCTACTGTCCTAATCGGATCATCTAATGGTCAATGTTTAATATGACCAAACCATCTAAGACGACTTTCTCTAATTTTGTCTGTCACAGGAGCTACACCAACCCTATCACGAATATATTCATTCCGCATTTTGTCTCTAAGTGTAAAGCCACTCATCCACCTAATCATTCTCATCTCGGCAACACTTAACTTATTATTATGCTTCTCTTTTAAAGGCCAACATTCAGCTCCATAGAGCATTGCAGGTCTCACCACCATCTTATAAAATTTTCCTTTCAGTCTTAGCGGTACTTTTCTATCACACAAAAGGCCCGAAGCATTCCTCCACTTCAACCAACCAACTTGAATTCTACTATTAACATCCCCATCTATATCACCATCGCTTTGAACAACGAACCCAAGATATATAAATCGTTCACACCTTTTAATAATTTGATCACCCAAAGTCACACTTCTGTCACTAGAGCTATTACTACTAAAATTACATTCCATGTATTCAGTTTTAGTTCTACTTAAACGAAGGCCTTTAGACTCCAATGTAGACCTCCATAATTCAAGTTTTTCCTGGGCTTTTTCTCTCGTTTTATCCACGAGAAGAATATCATCAACAAAAAGCATACACCAAGGTACATCCTCTTGTAGATGTCCAGTAAGACCATCCATAACTAAAGCAAAAAGATATGGGCTTAAAGCCGATCCCTAATGTAATCCAACAGAAATAGGAAAATATTTTGTCAATCCTCCTTCAGTTTGAATACAAGTAACAGCTCTAGTATACATATCTTTAATGACTTGAATATAAGTCATATAAACAAATTTCTTCTCGAGAACTCTCCAAAGGATATCTCTTGGAACCTTATCGCAAGCTTTTTCTAAATCAATAAAAATCAAATGTAGAAATCCAAATTGATTATGAGAAATTTTTATGATGCGTCTTAACCTATGTTCAATTACACCTCCTGAAACATAAAACACATTAAAAAGACACACCTAAAACATGTGATATAAGATGAGCTCATCAATATTTGGTAACATTAGCATCATCAATACATTCTTCTTCAGGCTAATTATGAGTAGTAAGGAAATAAACTCATGGTCAAACTGGTTGTCTCGGCTAAACCTGAGTTGAAGCTGAAGCTATAGACTTTATCATTCTTTGCCCACCTGAAATCTTCTCTGCAGGAACTCCGACTGGTTTTTGTTCATTTGAGATTTTCTTTCCCCACCTGAATTTCTTTCCCACAACAAAGCCTTCTTATCCTGCTCTAGCCTTTTTCATCAATCACCTTAAAGAACTATTAACAAAAATTAAAGTCAATTTAATATAATTTTTTTGAAATTTCATTTTAAAAAATTACATTCAATAACTTAAACTAATTTACTTTAATACATGTTTTTAAACCAAACCCTACGCTAACCCGTCGATCCCAACAATAAGGCTCAGTCGAGTCTTCCTCCCCATCGTATGCCTCCCCTTGCTAGCTCTTCGTCACCTTCATCATTTTTTCTTCGATTCTTCATTCCCCCCTCCCCTTCCTTTATTTGACACATTGATTCCTCTTCTGTGTAATAAAACTTAGGATGTTATAATTTTTCCCATTTACAAAATTTCGTCCTCGAAATTTAAAACAGACTTCAAGCCACATCCCATTAAGTAGGTTAATATCCATAAATTCTCTGACTCCCTTATCCTATAACTTTTGATATATCATTATGCCTAAATGAATATAATTATTATCTTGAGTAAATTTAAATTTATATTTTTTATTATTATTAAAATTTTCCTATAATTATCCAATTGACTCTTTCATATAGATTTTATTAATTAATCCTAAATCTTGCTCTGATATCATTTTTGTCACGATATGGCCTGAGGCATTAAATGAACCAAGATGGGAAAAGACGATTGGATGATGAAAATTAATTTATCTTTTCATATTTATTTTCTATAACTATTAATAAATGAAATGGTCACTAATCAATTTTAATTAAAGCAATAAAATTAAGTTTATTTCGTTACTGATATTCTGTGTCGTCTATAAGTATTATGTCTTCTATCATTCATCGTTTGATCACTTAATTAACTTAATATTTCATTTTAAAATAATATTGAGCTAAACAAGCCAATAAATGCCCATACTTCTAAACTATAGTAATACAAGTGCAAAATGATTAATATGCACATCTGTTGCAAGTCAATATCATTATATATTTGTACAACCGTCACAGGAGTATCGTCTAAAAATTATACCACTTAATGTACTTTAATATCAATATTTTCTTTAATTTATGTGTACGTGTATCTTAGCATCTCTCGCTAGTACCATAAATGGGTGACACCATATTCAGTTATGCACATATAAGGAGTTAATATAAACATATCATTTATGTGTTCATCACATTCAGTTCTTCTTACTATATATAACATATACTAATGCATGATAGTAAATGACTACAAATATTTGTAACAATGTAACCAATAAAAGAAATAATATCTCAATCTGAATAATGCTTGTGCATGTTTCATTAACTGCAAAGTGGTGGGAAAAAATAAAATATTGCTATAGATTACAAGTACAAGTACTTGCCTCGATGTAGAAGTCCTGTTTGCTCTTGTATTACTAATATTAAATTATCACCTATAAAGTTTAAAATATTCAATTATCAATTATTGTTGTATTGTAATATTTTAAATTACGATTTTAATGCTTTAAATTTTAAGTTTATTTATTGTAATCAAAATTAATATTAAATATTATTAATTTATACATTTAAAATTAAAACCCTAACCTTTTTTAGTATCGGAATGAAATTCACTTGAGTTTAACCTTTTAAATAATAAACATATATATATATATATATAATATTTATTTATTTTTATTTATTTTTATTAGTTTTTTTTTGTGATGAGTCTGTTAGGGCTACACATCCCTTGTATGTCTATATATATATAGTTTAGAGAGAGATGTCAATGTCATCATATCATATCAAGCTTAAAATTTGAAGGCATAGGTTTGACTGTTTGAATATTAAAAGAAATACGTCGCTAGAGATTTTTTATATTTTCAGTCACGAGAAGAGAGAACAAAAATCAGATGTGAAGCAACTGGTTAAAATAACTGTACTATGCTCATAATATAAAAAGCTTTCCATCGGATGTCCGCATGCCCGGATAAAGTGTGGATTTGATCAAATTAAATACACAACGACATGTAAATCCCTCATCGTTCCAAACATGCGAGACGGAATACTTTTTCTCGACGTAGAAGCGTTCTCATCTCTTCGCTTAAATTTCTTGCAGCAATATTCTGCAGTTTGGCAGTCCAGTTTGGTAGAAACCATGACCAACTGTCTACTTCAGAACCTCGTGTTAAGCTTCTTGTAATATAAAAATAACTAGAGTTCAAATAGAGTCCATTTTGGACGTCCAACATAGTTTTATAATGATTTATTTTTAAACAATATTATCGATTTCACAATCCGATAGAATATTATTATTCTCTGAATCCGCTTCCAGTTAGATTTCATCCGCCTCTTAATTTCGCATGCGCATATTTTTTATTCGGTGAGGGCTGCTTATGATGACTTTTTGTTCTCTATTTTTTATTTTTATTTTAAAAAATAGAGAATGCATTAAATATCAGTTTATTTAGTTATTTTATTTATAAACAGAAATGTTTTCACTTTTTAAAGCATGAGTAAAAAACATCCATGCCACATCCCTTGGTCTATTTTAAGGGTTGTGCACCAGCCAACTAACAGTTATTAGATGGTGATTTAAAATATTGGTTTGAATGCAAAAATTGATGATAAATTTATGAGTTATTTTATTATAATTTCATTCACTGATTAAGTTTTAATAATAGATATATATTATTTGTTAAATAAGTTATGGATACATTAAATAATAGAAAAAGATCACATTTTTGGATCAGACAATAAAAAATATAAGCGAAATTTACATACATAACACTTTTTTCTTTTGTATTTATATAACTAGCACCAAAGTTTTTATTTTTATATTTACGCGACCTAAAATTTTCATATCACATGTAAAACTTGAAATTTGGATGTTAGATATGTAAATACATTGTAATTGGGTGGCATGAATGTATGTCTTTCCAAATAAAAATTTAAGAAAATAGAAGTATCTGGGGATGCCAGCGATTGGTGGAGGAGGAGGAGGAGGAGGTGGTGGAGACGGAGGAGGTAATTATTTATTCTTGTTTTCATTTATGTTTAAAAATATAAATATTATAAGTTATCCCAAACGCCGTTTTGGGAATTTATGAATCTTAACATCTTTTACAAATGAACTAACGTCTCTTTTGATAAAGGCATGGATACCGGTGTATTCTACTGAATGTATTACACATTTAAGATACATACTTACTTTTAGTTGATTGAAAATTGATAAGATGAAATTTGTATATATATATATAGGATCAAATTCTACTGGACTGAGTCCTCAGTAGAGCTCAAAGTCAACTAGAAGTTAAGCTTCAATTTTTGGATCAAACCCTTTCTACTTTTTAAGTGATAGAAACATTTCTAAGTATTCAATTGCTTGCTTTGGTTTTTCCAGTTTTCTTTAGGTACTTATGTTGTTGACATCATCTTGTAGAGAAAACTCCCTTCTCCTGGATTCCAAGTGGAGATTGTTCTTGCAGACCATAACGGTTCCGTATCCCCTCGTCCTTCTCGTCCAGCTCCCAACAATGAAACTGATCAGGCCCCAACGGCAATAATCGCCCCCGCCGAAGAAAGCAAAATCTCACATACTACGAAAACAAACATCGAAACTCGAAACAAGGATGATGTCTTCTCCGATAGTGAAGGCGATGACGGCGGTTCCACGAAAGGCAAACGGTCTCCCGCCTCCAACAACTCCGCAACCGTGCATGTCGTTGCCACCGAAGGCTCTGAAACCGAACCACCTCCAAAAAGTGGATTACCAAACATAAGCCATCGAATCGATCAAATCTCCCTCAAAGACAAGGATGCTACAATCCCTGCTCCTCAAGCGGTTCAAGAGCAAAGAACTGAGGAGACCAAGTCCTCGGCATTTCAAGCATCTGAATTGGAATCTACGAGCACAAGCGAGTTCAAGGCCATCGCTGCAGATGCCTCCGTCTTCTCTTTCGGCGACGAAGACTATGAAAGCGAGTAGCCTGTTGTTCGAAGTTGTAAATAATAGATTTGTTTGGTTGAGAGCATATGCATGTTTATGAAAATTTGTTCTTGCATTCTTACACGTGGATGGAGTTTGTATCTTATTCATGATCTTCTCATTTGGATGGCCCTTTTGTTGAATTTTCAAATCATTTTGTTTGGTTGCAAAAATCAACCCAAAGTGTCATGGTGGACAATATTTTACTATCAATACCAGTTGATGTATCTGCTTGAACAATTACAGTACTAATTTGTGAAAAATGCAATTCTTTACTGTGAGTTGACAAATGTGTAAATTAGGATTAATAGTTGTGGCAAAATCAGAAGTATGCTTTCTAATTATTGTTCTTAAAACATTTATAAGAAAACTAGTATACTTCTGATGGTAATCAACATAATATTATCTGCAGATCTTGTTTATAATTATTTTTTTAATTTATTAATATTTGAAAATAGATTAAATGTAATTCAAAATAAAGTACTTCTACGCATGTTAACTCATTCACTAAAGTACAGATTGTTCTTTAATGATGCCAACGCTGTTTTTGTTGTAAATTAGTCAAAATTGCCTATTGTTAATCTGTGTTTTCAATGTTTAATATAGAATAAGTTCTTAATAACTATATTTCTATTTATTTTTGAGCTAATATGATTCAATCCGCTTATCATAATTTTATTTGGGCTTGGCTCATTAATCAGCAAAATTCAAATCTTGTATCTAAAATGAAGGGAAATGTACATATATATATATATATCACACAATTCTTATGCATTTGTCTATTCTAACCTAATTTTTTATATGTATATTTAAAAAATGCTGACGCTTGATACACTATCAATAAATTTCCATCATTTAGCATGAAGCTTCAGGTATGATTGATTTTGAGGTGATTTTTTGAATAAGTAATAAATCCCATTTATAGTGCAACGATATCTCCCGAAAATGATATATCAATACACCTTGACGATGGTGATTTTCTCTGGACTCTTAAACCTCCCTCCATACAGTTCCTGACTTTGGCCCATACAACTTGCAGAAGTTATTACAACTCACTACAATGACCTCAATGGTTCACAACTCATTTACCTGACAGCAATTACGTAGATTTTTAAGCTTTGAAAGATGACAAAAACTTGACCCAATTTATATTTAAGCGGCTAGTGTGTAAAATATTTTTTATAAAATTTAAAATATGATTTATATTTCACACAGTATGGGTTTTACGCAAGTATACATATCGTTTCAAGTAATATAAAGTTTTTTTCTAAGACTCTGATATCGATCCCACAGAGAAGTGTAAGAAATCCCTCAGGCTAATTCTAGTATACAACTATCAAGTCTTAGTTTGGAATGTTGATTGAGGTGGTTTTTTTAATAACTATTTATAAATGAAAATTTTAAATTTAAAGATAACTTATCTGGATAAATTGATTTAAATAGTTTTGAGATGTTACAGACTCCTCTTCTCGTGCAATGACCTAAATAATGAGTAGGAATGAAATTCTTAGAATTTAATGTAGTGAGTGACAAATAGGAGCATACATATTCTTAGTAAAGAAGATTGGTTAACCTAAAGTTTTTCATCAGCTTGTGTAGTAGTGTTGAGTAGACTCTGGTCTCTCACTTTTAGATTATCCATTATGCCCTCTCCATAAGACCTACTAGGGACTCTTACGATCCAAACTCTTGACCGAAATGATAAAAGAATCTATGTTGGCACTAAAAAGTTGGGACTTGTTAAGTTGTCGGCTGCTATGATGAATATCCCAACACTCGTTTTAGTTTAATTTAATACGTATATAACTTGGAAAAAATAGTATTTTAAATTTTTAAAAATACAAGACCGAACTGATCTCATATCCCCGATAATTTAAATAAACAAGCCTAATACCGTAGGCAACGTATCTACCCCGAAGGATAAATACACTACTTACTAGTAAGACTCGATTGAATAAACTAAAGATTGTATGACATCCGTTTAAGTCTGCGAAACCATTTTTATGTTGACCGACAAATTCTCCTATTTAATACGAAGAATTAAATAGGGTTTACATTAAGCTGGGTTCGGGAATGCTCCTACAAGGGCAAGCCCTTATAGTTAAGTACATTTTAGATAGCCGAAGTCACCTAAGAAAACTCTCAATAAAAATTAGGGGATATTATCTTCAAAGAGGTCAAAGGATTAGGTCCAAGAGGTAAAGACCCTTGGGGGCAACTTGACTTAATTAATTAATTTGATTTCAAAGAATGAGCTTGTAGTGTTTTGGAAGGTTTTTTTAAATTAATTATAAGTTATTTCCTAAACCTCATTAGACAAAATTTTGATTAAGCCTAGTTCACTACTAAGCCCTTAAGATTTAATGGGTAGATTTGTAATTTTAAGAAAAATGGTTTTTCTTAATGTTTATATCTATATTCTTAATCCTTATCATGAATTATAAATCATCTCAAAATCATTAGTTATGGCTTAAAATCAGTGAGTTATAATCTTCTAAAATTCAAACCCCTCACCTTGATATCTCCTTATTTAAATACTCTTCCAAATTTCATTAATTTCAAGAAATTACAAATTTATCCTTTATACGACCAAAATAGAATTGGTTTCTACCATTTACCCCTTTTACATTCCAATCATCAAAACATATCAATTAAAATCATTCGTTTCCCATTTAGTCCTTTGGTTAAGCCTTAAATTCCAAAATTACCCTTTTGCCCCAAAGGCCTTAATACCCCATAATTCATTAAATTAGACTCAAATGACATGAAAATTTTATATTACCTCACTTATGGGTTAATTAAAATATCAGAGGAGAAAATGTGATTTTTCTAAATTTATTTAATTTTTATAATTTTTTTAATGCGAAAATAAGGATATTTAATGAAAATTTAATAACTCAATCAAAATGAAACTTCTATCCTTAAGAAAATTATTAGAAGTTCACCTAGGTCAAAGGACCACTTGAACTAATTTTCATGATTTTTAGAAATTCAATTTAATTATTAAAATTATTTGTTGGTTTTAAGTATTAATTAAACATAAAATAATATTTAAATGGAAAATTAAATTTAATATTTTTATTAAATCTCTCTGAGTCCAGGGAACCCAAAGAAATAAATTTCATTTTTTTATTTATTTATATTTTAATTATTAGAATTATTTTAATAAAAAATTAAAGAAAATTCATTTTTAACCCTTATAAAATTAATATCTTGACTTAGAAAATTAGAAAAATTATTTTGATTGGTTCCAAGTAATCAGAAAACCAAATTTGATGTTTTAGTATGTTTTTACAATTTTGTGATTTTTATGATTTTAATTAATTTTTAATTATTTAAATGCTAAAAAATAGCTTAAATAAATGTTTTTATTTTAATTCAAATATTATTTTTCTTAGGTTACTCTAGAAATAAGGAGCTCCCAAAACCAATTTGGTGATTTTTTTGAATTGTATTTTAATTATTATAATTATTTTAATATCAAAAAGGTAATTTTATCTTAAAAATTCATTTTAGTGATCAAATTAACTCCAATTGAGTTAAAATTTTTATGGGAAGTTCCTCTAACATTAAGTTATAGTGAAGAATAATTTTTATGTCATTTACATTTATAATTACTCCAAATTAATTTTCTTTTCTTTTTTAGGGTTGGTGATAATTAGGATTATTTTAAATGAGTTAGACCAAGTTTATATTTTTGCTAGGATCCTTTGACCACAGTGAACCTACCAAAATAAGTTTTGTAATTTTCTTATGAGTATTTTAATTATTATAATTTTTATACTAAAATAGAGATCATTAACTTGAAAATTGAATATCTCTAGTTAGAGATGCCCCCCGACCTTTGAAAAATCAGGGTAGATGCCTAACAACAGAGACATCAAAAGCCCCATGGTCCCATACTATGGTTAAATGTCCATGCAAATGGAGAATCAAAATAAAGAAAATACCATTTAATTAATTAAAAATAAAATATGTATCAAATGGATATGAAAATATTTTCATATTGTTCTTCTCTCTTCACTGAGCAACAGGGTATTTTTATTTCAAATGGATATGCATCAAATAAAATATGCATCAAATGGATATGATTTTTCTACACAAAGTTATGCATTTTTTAAGTTATGGCTATTTAAATAAATAATAAAATCCTTATTTTTCTACTTAAACCAGTCAGCGCCGCGTCATCCTAGGTAGATCCGAAGCTCCACGTGGCGTCTTCTGGTTCAGCGCTACCTTCTGCTCAGCCGCTACGTGCTCATAGTTCCGCTCCATCTCCTCGTCTGGCTTCATCACGACTTTCCATCTGATACACGCGGAAACGGACGACATTCGTTCATCATCCCCAAGTCTCTACCACGAGAAACGTCCAACTTCAAACCTTAATATCTCTTTCAATACTTAACCAAATTAAGTGTGATTTGTTCCTATAGACTCGTCTTGACTAGGAGAACATATCCATATGGTTAATCAACCCTTAAATCATCTCTATACTCATGGAGAATCAAATGAAGCTCGATTTAGGGTTAAGTTTCAATACTTTGGTCCAAGAGGGGAAGCCTAGATTGGATGCTTGTGGAAGCTTCGTTGGGGTACCAAGAGCCTAGGGATGGAGACTCGAGCAATGGTGAATCGCCTAGATATGATTTTGACCAAAGTCATTTTAGAGGCACGATCAAAGTCCACCTTAGGGTGCTATGGTGATGGGGCTTTTATGGGGGATCTTCCTCTCTCACTGTGGGGATGGTGTGGGTGTAATTAATTTGGATTTGGTGGAGGTTTGGTAAGTGTCCTGTTTTGGCCTTGAATTTGAGCTCCAAAATTGAGCTCGAGCAGTGGACTTGAGTGACTAAGGGTGGTTGGGTTAAGCTCAAGGGGTCTTAAGGAAGCTCTGAAAGCAATTTGACATAGTCTCCCCAAGGAAATGCAAGCTCTCTTCTTTTGTCCATGGAGTGTGGGTTTAAATAGAGGGGGAAGGAGAGGCCAGGAAGGAGAGGCCACCAGAGGCCACCAGAGGCAATTGGTGGGTGTTTTAGGTTGCTTATGTGGATGCCAATAAGGTGCAAAAATTCAATTAGGATGAGACAACTTGGTTGGGTTTAATTTTGAGTTTTAGCCTAGGTGAAGCACTTGGCCATGGCTTTTCCGGCAGCCTAGGTGGTCGGTCGGCCAGGCTCAGGTCACCATCCAGTCCAGGGAGGTCAGGGCTTGGGTTTGGTGAAGCTAATTGGGGTTGGCCA